GTGTGGTGATGAGTTTCATGAAAAATGAAAATGTGTTGATATTAGAAGTTGTTGTTCAAATGTTATTTTAGTCTTGAAATGACTAATTTGTTGGAAACACGAGAAACGTGGAAACATTGTTATTTTTGATGAACTTGGATAGATAGATGGTTATCTTGTGAAATCACCTTGGAAATGAGGAAATTGGTGTTATGGATCTTCATGGTTGAATCATTGGGTGGAATTGTAAATGGAAGGGATATTGCATTATATTGATGATTGTTGCATTTTCATCTCAATTCTTTTTATTATGGCAAATTAAAATTATTAGATTTGAAAACTTTTGCATTGAGAAAAGCACATTGTGAAATAAGTTTTCATGGAATTGTTTTGGGATAAATACGTTGGTAAGTCCGGATAGGAGGTGTAAATGAAATTGATTAAGTTGGCCTGAGTGTCTGGGGTGAAAGACCGAAAACACACGCGGAGGAGGTACCACTTCCCTTCTTGTTAGCAACCGGTAAAGTGGGGTTTTGGTAGTGCTAGTTATGCCTACTTGCAGACACTAACCTAGGGATTACCTGAGTCGTATTTACCACCCCCTTTGAATTAAATTGTAAATTTATCGATTGTTGAGATTTCAAGTTATCATTGAGCATGATGGTTTATTTAAAACGATGTAGATGTGATCTTCTTTCAAAAGGCATAACATGGCATGTGCATTTCATTTTTGGGAAGCTTGCATAAAATGTATATACTTTGTTAAGAATTCTCTACTGGGCTTTATGCTCACCCCTATAAGATTTTGGTGCAGGAAAGGACGTGATGAACCGGCCAATCTAAGGCGTGGATGTATGTATCTAGAGCACAAGGCTCTGTTTTGTTGTGATTGTATTTTTGTAAGCCTAGGGCTATAACTGTTTGGGTCCGAGAGACCATTTTTGTGTAACCGGGCTTAAGCCTTGGAATATGTAAGCCCCTTGAGGGCATTTTATTTATTTTTGGAATTGATGTTCTACATGCTATAGATTCATGTATTTGATATCATTAAATGTATAAATTGCATGTGGGACTATTTTGTACAAACTTTAATGATCAATGATATGATGATTGGACAATTGCTATTATTCTTGAATGAATGTTGGTTGATGTACCTAAATGATGTTGAAAATTTTGGGGCGTTACAATTAGAACATGAAGCTAAACTCAATTGACTATAATTTTATTCAAAAAGCGGACTCCAAATATGATGACAAGGTTTACATAATTAACAATGTGAAAGTATTCAAATAATTCATCGTCTTACCAGCAAAACCTTGCATCATTGTCATTACCCACTCAGCTACTTGCTGCATCAACCAAAAGGCACAGAATATTACCAAATATCCCACAAGATTTGGATTTTTTTCAAGGTACTATTCTCTAGGTTATTATATAAAACTATGTGGCTGATTTGCCTATAAATATATGAATAGCTAGCAGCATCATTTTATATAGATATATGATGTCCAGCATTATTCACAAAATCTCTAATAATTTACTGCTCCATCTTCCCTATTTTGAATGAACCCATAAAATTTGAATAGAAACCATAATGAATATAGAACAAATTCTGCAAGAGAAAGAACACAAAACATGGGACTCCACATATAAACATGTAATTTAGAACTTCATATTTGAGTATGCTCCTGAAGAACGAAAATGCTACAGTTGATTGAAACAAAATGAAAGAAGTTGGAATAAGATTGATGAATACAAAACTCCATACTTTGGACAAGAATATCATACAAAAGGTGTAGATTGACAATGGAAATTTAAAGGAAATTGTTCTCATCCAATGTCAAGACTAAACACAAAAACTATTACTCAATCTCAGATGTCATAAAGTAAACTGTCATGGAATTGAAAATTGGTGTGATTAGTGCACATGAAGCATATGTAAGCATCCTGCTACTGCTACAATTTTATTACAAGTTCTTAACAATAGTCTAAGTTCTTAATAATATAAACATGGCTTCAATTATAAGAGCTAATTGCTTTTAAATTTTCTTTTTGTGAATCTCTAGTGTACATGGGACACACATTGGCATATTTTCCATAAATGAACTTATTCTTCAATTGATAAAGAAATTATAATCCTTAGCCTCACCTAATTCTAGACTTTATTAAATTTTCAAACCACACAACATGCAGAAAAATGAACAAAATTAAATAGTCCAATTAGTGGAGAAGTTTTCCTACAAAAACAGAATAAAAAAAAAACCTGAAACTAGTTTTCATGAAAATCCATAATGTCTATATATCCATGTGACTATAAAATGAGACAAGTATATTTTCAATTAAAGAAAGTATATAAAGCCCCCTCTTAAGCACAACAAAAAAATGTAACAATAGACACTGTAATTTTAAAGGACCTCCTCATTTACAAAGTAAAGTAAGGGAAAAAGAAAGCTAATGAAATGCTAATGCTTAGTTGGGCTATGCATACAGACAGAGTTCACGGAAGTTGGGCTGTTTGGGTCCATCACAAAGTAGCAGCCAAATATACTTGGTTCCGAAAAGACAGAAGATCCTTTCTACAGTGCACATAACATAACCAATCCAAATCTAAAATTGACTTGCATTAACAGAGGATAACAACATGAAATGGGTATCAAAATACCTCCAGAGTTTGTTCTAGATCGTCCCATAGTTTTGCACTCATTTTCCCATTGAGCTGGGACCCTCTAGTGCTTGAACTAATAGCTTCATTTCCAAATCTCAAGAGAGACGAACAAGCCAACCTCCCAAGGTCAGTCTTTTCAGCCAAGTTCTGAAAATACTTCAAGTACAATCTGTACAGAAACATGTGATTCTATGAAGATTGAGAGAATCACATGAAGAAAGAGAGAGAGAGAGAGAGAGAGAGAGAGAGAGAGAGAGAGAGAGAAAGGGAGAGATAGAGAGTTCTTCCTAACCTTGCTTTGCTAGTTGCGCCAATCATCTGTATAGTTTCTTCAGTACTAATACCATCATATACAATTACATCAAATTTATCTTCCTACTGGTTTCTTTGAGCAACATTCCCAGAGAATCCTACATGCCTCTGAAGTGCTAAGGCTGAAAATATAGAATCCATGCCAGGGAGAACCCCAAGCTCTTCTCCAACCACCTACCATATCACCTAAAAAAAAAAAAACATAAGTACTGCCCATGGATAAAAGCATAATTGAGGAAACAACGCCTTTCAGACACAATAAATCTAAATAATCAAAATGATTGTTACATAGCCACACCTTCGAGCACTCCTTGGGTCATATTAAGACGAGCATCTGCTAGCTTCAGCCGATTGAGAGGTTCAAGCAACATTTGCAATTATTGGGAACAATTTATCTAGAGTCAAAACTGTGACAACCCTCACCACTGACTAGTGCTAATCTATGATTAAGTATGTTAACTGACTGATTGACTGAAATTTTGAATTGATTGATTGAGTGTATTAGTTTAAATACATTTCTATCTGTTTGTCATTGATTTATCTGTTCATGTTTTAAGTTTCGAACTGTAAATTGAAGGTCTTATCGGCGGCCGAATCTAAAATTGATTAGTGTTTTGTGCTAATTGGAATTTATGTGATTTTATGGTATATTTAATTGAAATGTGATTTGGTATGATTAAATTGGATTAAATAAGCTAAGTTACAATAGTTGGCCTTAATCACCATTTTGCCACTTAGTGGCCCACTTCATAAAACACATTTGAGCTTTATTTCTAGCACTTTATTCAGCCATTTCTTGAGCCTAAACCAACTAAAGAGAGAGAGTTGAGAGTAAAACTTGATTTCATCTTGTTTTGGCTTGGAGATTAAGAGTGTTGAAGGAATTTGCATAATTGAGCTTCTACATTTGAAATTGGAGACCTAAGGTAGGACATTTACCTTCTTGTTGTGAATTCAAGTTAGTTCTTGCATGGTTCATGGTAGATAGGAGCCTAAGGTCATAAATTGTTGAGTTGAAGCTTGAATCATGCATGCATGTACATATTCTTGCATTTTGAAGTTGATTTTCATGAAATCTTGCATGCAAGTTTACATTCTTGTTCTAGTCCATGAGTTCATCATGGTTTTGAGTTTAATCTTGCTTTGGATCATGTTTTGAGGCATTAGAATTCACTAGAATTCATGCATGTCATATGTTCTTCATGTTCATGAAAACTTCTTTGAAATTGTGTTTAATTGAACTACTTTTGGGCTTTCATTTCTCAAATTGATCTTTGAAACATGTCATGTTATGAGTTTACAAGTGTTTTCTAGAAAATTAGCCCAAAAGGATCGAATTTGATGCTTTAAATGTTGATTTGAGCTTGGAGGTTCAATCTGGAAATTCCAGAATTTGGGCCCACGCTCGAGCGAGGAACTCTACGCTCGAGCATACGCTTTGTATGCATGCAGTCCGCTCGAGCGAGGAAAGTGACGCTCGAGCGTGAAATGCGTGTATCCAGTACTTTGCATGTGTTTACAGTCCGCTCGAGTAAGGGAATGCACGCTCGAGTGAGGACTTGTGTCTCACGCTCGAGCGAGGGTCGAGCGCCCGTCGAGCGTGAATTCCATGCATCCAGTACTTTTGCAGTCCGCTCGAGCGAGGAAAGTCACGCTCGAGCGGAGCTCCTTTGTCTGCATGTTCGCTCGAGCGTAGAAAGCCATGCTTGAGCGAGACCCCTATTTTCTGAAAATTCTGAAAAGTGTTTTAAAGTGCATCTTTGCATCCTCATTCCATCCTAGGCACTCCTAGGCCTAGTTTAAGGCATCTTAATGAGGATATTGATGTAGAACCACACTGAGGCAAATTAGGGATTAAATTATTATTTCCCAACTGTGTAGCTTAGGGTGTGTTCGTTCTGTAACTGTGTAGGGTTGGCATCCGAGGACGCTCTAGCTGCTTATAGCCCAATGCTCTGTGAGTAACAATGTTGTAAAGATATGTTCATTCATGAATATTTTCTGAATGAACAATTGTACTGCTTTTTGAAATGATATTTCTTACTGAATGAATGTTTGTCCTATTTGTGAACTGTATTTATGGCATCCATAGCAATTTGCTGTTACTGTACTGTACTGCTACGGTCACAGAGATCTCTGTCAGTTCCTATGTTTGGAACCACTACTATTTACTGATATGATGGCCATCAACTGACTGTTCGGTCTGTTAAGACCTATTGTATTGTTTTGCTATTGGATGTACCACATATGACTATTACAGTTTCTGAATGACTGTTATGGCATGAAATATGAGCCACAAACTGAATGACTGATATACTGATAAATGACTGTTTTCAATACTGAAAGGACATTCATTCTTAACCTCTTTACGCATATGTTATTCACTAGGCTTTAACTCACTGCTCATTAATATATGTAGGTGTTCAGGCATCGGACCGTTGCTAGAAGCATCAGGCTAAGCCCTTGTTTTGTCAAGCCAACCTTTGTGCCTCACTTCGAGGTTCCAGATCTGTTCAAGCTAAGGCTGCTTTTGGGGTGTCTCAGATTCACCCTATCTGTCTCTGTTATGTATAGACTGAATGATATTTGTACTGTACTATTATGGTGGGGATTTGGTCCCTAACCTAAATGCCTGTAAATGATGTACGTATATATACTGTTTTTGTTCTGAATGTGAATATGTTACGAAAAGTCTTTTTGCCTACAGACTGTCACAGCTTATCGGACATCTTTTAATTGCTGTTTTGGCTTTCGCCAGCCCTTGTACTCTGTATTACTATTTTATTGTTAAGCAGGCCTTCGGTAATCTCAGATTACTGGCCAGTTACGGTGCTAAACCCATAGGGGCTGGTTTGGTTCGCGACAGAGTAGTATCAGAGCGATATTAAACCACGAGTTATACTGCACACACGTGTCCAAATGAGCTATAGGATGTCCTAGAAAAGTAATTAGGACATTACATGAGCATGAAAAGTGTGTGTGGCCATGACATGAATATATGTGTTAATGTGTTTAAGTATGCAACTGTCTATATTTATTATTGTCATAATTGCCTATAGTGAAATGGATAACGTAAGAACTGCCGATGAAACTGAATCATCTGACGCCAGAATGGCAAGATTAGAAAGAACAGTGGAACTGTTGATCGAAGCCTTAAGGCAACAGCAACAACAGAACCAACCGCCCCCACCTCCTCCGGTACAGGCGAAACAGAATGTAAATGATGACATCATCACTCTAACACAGAAGTTCAGTAAGATGAAACCACCATCATTTCAGGGAGGCCTTGAACCATTGAAGGCCGAAGCGTGGGTACTAGAAACTGAAAAATTATTTGAAGTGTTTCCGTGTTCTGAAGCACACAAAGTGCTACTGGCTACCTTCACCTTACAAGAAGAGGCCAGAAGGTGGTGGATGCTGGTCCGCGACACCAATACTGCCATGAATTGGGCTCAATTTAAAGGAGCCTTCTTTGAGAAATACTTTCCACAGTGTGTCAGAGACCGCAAGGTAACCGAGTTTGAACAGTTGAGATAAGGTTCCATGTCCGTGGCTGAGTATGAGTCAAAGTTTACTGAACTCGCCAGATATGCACCGCACATGGTTGACACTAATTACAAAAAGGCCAGGAAGTTTGAAGGCGGCCTTAATGTAGAAATTCTTGACAGAATCAACGTTTTGAAATTGCTGAAATACGTGGATGTTCTTGATCGAGCAATAATGGCTGAGTCGAACATCGAAGCATTGAAACAGACCAAAACACCAGCGTCTGAATGGCGGGGTAAAAGACGGGTTTTTAAATTTAAGAAAGGCCGGAACAATTCGTTGAACAAAAAGCAAAACACAGGGTCAACAAATAGTTCCAGTCAGGGGAGTGGTTCCATACCGCCCTATTCTAAATGTGGTAAGAATCATAAAGGGGTTTGCTATAAAATTTCAGGGTTCCATACTGCACACACGTGTCCAAATGAGCTATAGGATGTCTTAGAAAAATAATTAGGACATTACATGAGCATGAAAAGTGTGTGTGGCCATGACATGAATATACGTGTTAATGTGTTTAAGTATGCAACTGCCTATATTTATTATTGTCATAATTGCCTATAGTGAAATGGATAACGCAAGAACTACCGATGAAACTGAATCATCTGACGCCAGAATGGCAAGATTAGAAAGAACAGTGGAACTGTTGATCGAAGCCTTAAGGCAACAACAACAACAGAACCAACCGCCCCCACCTCCTCCGGTACAGGCGAAACAGAATGTAAATGATGACATCATCGCTCTAACACAGAAGTTCAGTAAGATGAAACCGCCATCATTTCAGGGAGGCCTTGAACCATTGAAGGCCGAAGCGTGGGTACTAGAAACTGAAAAATTATTTGAAGTGTTTCCGTGTTCTGAAGCACACAAAGTGCTACTGGCTACCTTCACCTTACAAGAAGAGGCCAGAAGGTGGTGGATGCTGGTCCGCGACACCAATACTACCATGAATTGGGCTCAATTTAAAGGAGCCTTCTTTGAGAAATACTGTCCACAGTGTGTCAGAGACCGCAAGGTAACCGAGTTTGAACAGTTGAGATAAGGTACCATGTCCGTGGCTGAGTATGAGTCAAAGTTTACTGAACTCGCCAGATATGCACCGCACATGGTTGACACTAATTACAAAAAGGCCAGGAAGTTTGAAGGCGGCCTTAATGTAGAAATTCTTGACAGAATCAACGTTTTGAAATTGCTGAAATACGTGGATGTTCTTGATCGAGCAATAATGGCTGAGTCGAACATCGAAGCATTGAAACAGACCGAAACACCAGCGTCTGAATGGCGGGGTAAAAGACGGGTTTTTAAATTTAAGAAAGGCCGAAACAATTCGTTGAACAAAAAGCAGAACACAGGGTCAACAAACAGTTCCAGTCAGGGGAGTGGTTCCATACCGCCCTGTTCTAAATGTGGTAAGAATCATAAAGGGGTTTGCTATAAAATTTCAGGTGCTTGTTACAGGTGTGGCAAGGTGGGCCACATGGTCAAATATTGCCCTTCTGCTCCTCAGGGCAATAGTAAAGTTGCACCAAGCACAGCAGCATCAACTGCTCCATCGAAACCCAACCCCAAAGCTACTGGAAAAGAGCCTATGAGGCAAGGCTGAGTGTTTGCACTCGTACCGGGAGATGTACAGAATACCGAGACCGTTGTGTCAGGTATACTCTCAATTTGTGCTCAAAATGCTTATGTTTTGATTGATTCGGGGTCTACACATTCATATGTCTCGCATGCTTTTTCGCGAAAATTGAATAGACCATTGGAACCCATGAACTATCTGTTAGCTGTGTCTTCACCTGTTGGGGGATCCATAACTTGTGCTTATATGTACCCTGCATGTGAAATTATTGTTGGGGATGTTCATCTA